CCATTCTTTTTCTAATATAAGGTAGTGGTGGAGAAATTAACACTACGTTTTGACAGAACCGACTGTGGTCACCTTATACTCACTACTACTATGCCATGGCCAGCATATACTGATGTGTCTTTGAGATAAACTGTAAAGATCATTTTGACTAGTCGGAAGTCATCTTTTTCACGAAATCTGACCTTCATCTCTGCAATGGCTTGAGCAAAAAAAAGTTCATTTGATATGATTTGTAAACACTTCCATATTTTAGACCACATTCAGCCAAACACGGTGCTTTTGTGGCTCCTTTCCTAAAGTCCTGAGCCAGTTAGTCCAGCAAAGCCCAGGCCATGTCCAACCACATGTTTACTCAAGCATGTGATAAAGACACACTCTATGAATTTTCCTTTTTGTTTGACATATCAACTTCCTTTCCAGGGTAATTTCACTAAACAAGCATGCCAGGAACATTTAACCACTCACACACTGGTCCAAAATCACATAAAGAAACAACTGCACCATCATTTCAGTTCATGTTTTCTTTATGCCAACAGTTCCAGAATCATTGAGCCACTTATTCAAAGGCTCTAGAAGGGCGACAATAGCTTTGTGAGCAATGAATGACCAGATTAGTCAGTCTACAACAGAATAAAACACAAAGGTACAGCCTGTGCACTGTAAACGCCTGCGATTCATTAAAAGATTCAAGCACACAAGCACAAGAGCTGCTGTGTCCATTCTGTCAGCCGGAGCCTGTCCAGGTGTTACTCATAAAATCCCACAGGAGGCTTTCAAAAGCAGCGAACTTTGGGGTACTACTTACAATGAGACAACAACCCTTCGAGAGAATCTAACAGTCATAATTCTCCCATAAAATGAAATTCTGTATTATACTATATTATAGGTATAAATACATTAATATTTAGCTAAATATATGATTATTTTAAGGGGACTACAGTAATGGAAATGACATTTTTTGCTTGAGAATTTGTGAAAATGTGCTAAATAATGCCACAAAGCACTTTTTTTCTTTTTATGCAAATATAACTTCTCATTTGTCACCCATTCTTTTTCTAATATAAGGTAGTGGTGGAGAAATTAACACTACGTTTTGACAGAACCGACTGTGGTCACCTTATACTCACTACTACTATGCCATGGCCAGCATATACTGATGTGTCTTTGAGATAAACTGTAAAGATCATTTTGACTAGTCGGAAGTCATCTTTTTCACGAAATCATCATAGAAGTAAAAAAAAAAAAAAAATGCAAGAACGTTCTCAGAAAATACAAGGAAGTACTATGCAACACATACAGAATAGTTCAGAGGAGGAGAAGCTGTTCGGATTTAGAAAATAAAAAATAAAGAAACGAAATCAAACTCATACCTCACTTTCAGTTTTGTACAGCTTTGAAGTGTGTAATCGCGCTACATGTCCTGTGGTGGGAGAGTTTCTCGCTTTTTGAAGAAGCATCGGTAAAGTTTCTTTCTCTTACTCCGCCATGTTTCCTCAAGACACTTTCCTTTCCTAACTTTTTTTCGGGAAAAAAGGAAAGCGTCTTTTACTTTGGCACGCCAATCATTACACAGGAGTTTGTAAACGCCACGCCTCGCCATCATCATGCTTCAGTACTGAAGTAATGCTCGCGAACGAATCATTCTTATAAACAGACTCTTTTGAATGATTCGGTCGAACCGATTCGCCAAGCGATTCACAAATCGCTGTAAAAACTGAAGAGAGAGCAATATTGTGGAATTATTACTAATAATTAGGGTTGTTATTTTTGTATTTGTAAATCACGTGACTGTAGAAAAAAAACTTTAGGAATGACGGTATAAATATTGTTAATAAATATTGTTACAAATAAGCACATGTGGGCAGGCTATAAACTATAAACTAATCTAAAAGACATTTTAACAATAAAAATAAAGCGAAAAAAAATAAAGATTTTAAGTGATGACTCGCGGTGAATCGATTCATTGAACTGAATGAATCATCTGAAAGAATCAATTCGCTAAAGTGAATTGGACGTCCTAGTGCTAGCTGCTAGATCCAAATTACTTCGCAAAATGTATTGCAAAATTGGGTGAACATTTCTTGGGTTCGTGGCAGATTAGATGAAAATGCTTGTGAAAACATGCAAAAATTGCTTTAATAAAACTAAATAAATAAATAAACGAAGGAGGATCATTTTTGTTTGCTTCTCAATTTGGCTGTAATTCTTAACAACAACAAAAAAGACTTAAACATGACTTATCTCATTAAAATAAATGTGATGAGTAAATAGTAGTGTGATGTATTGACCAGCAGAGGTCAGTGTTTATTACTGACAGACAAATCCAGCGGTATTTAAACGATTTCTGAAGGACATCTGGTAATTTCTGTACATTTTTCCTGCTATAATAAAAATTAATTATATTTTAGACATTAAAGCAGAAAAATCAACAACAAAAATCGGAAAAACAATGAGCTAATTGCGCCAGCTTGCTTACGCACAAACACAAACATAAGCACGACAACATCAGCTTAACTGCACAATTAAAGGGAAAAAATGAAATAGATAAAGTCATTACACAGATAGAGCATCATAAAATTGGTAATATTTCCATCTCTGTGATGCACTCTGATGATTTAATGCTTTTATACACTTAAGGCCGCTCAAAGAGCATGTGAAAACAGACAGATAAACAAATAAAGAATGTATTACAGCTGGAAAATATACAGTATAGCCTAATACAATATTTATATTAAAAATAAGTTTACAATGATTTTGCTAGCTGTTTATAGGCAACAGAGTATAAATGACATTTGGTGAGAATTAGAAAAGGCTACATATAAAGCAACACAAGTCTTTGGAAACATGAAATCATTGCACTGTTAAACACATTTGGCATTTCAATCTGCTCTATTTTGAAACACGGAAGTAAGCTATTTTCTTTGAATGTGCGAGACGTCCGTTCATTAGTCGCACTCGCTACTACAGGTAAATAAATAACTAGAAGAATAACAAACAGTAAACGGTAAGACTATTAGCGTGACAAACTGTGTTATGATTACGATAATGAATTTAAATAATATCTTAACAAATAGGCCTACCAGTTTGTCAAGCAGCATAACGGAATGTTTTAGTAGGCCTGCAGCTAAAACAACTGAACGGCACCGGAAGCCTCACACATTCAAATTACAAATGCTACGTTAAAATTAAAGTGCAGCTGCAACACTTAAATACTTAAGTCATTTTTAAGTGACCAAGAAAGAATCGACCAGCAGAAAAGAGAAACCGGGGCTAGTTGTCACACTTTTAGCTTCGAGAGTGGGTTTAGTTTGAAAGTCAGTGTCTTTATAAATACATTCCTTTCAGTCTTTGTTACAAAGATGCTTTTGAACATTTATACTGTTATTTCAGGAAAAAAAGATACAGGAACATGTGATGAGCAAATTGCAGGGCATGTTGTTATCACACTTTGGGGTAGTGATATCATATCGCGATTATTTTTTTTCCAGGAAAATCACGATTCTATCACGATTCTTTGTCATGTTGGTTTTACTATTTTGCAAGTTGTCTGAGCAGTACAGACAAACTACGTAAACTAAGTACAAATACACATAATATACAAATAAAACTTTATTTAAAAATCTAAATTTCCCCTTTATCTTTCAGTAGGTTATTTGGCAGTAGCATTCAAGAAACTGAATGAACTGAATACACTTCACTGTATAAATGATTGATTCTTCTTAAAGCAACTGTATTAAAGTTCTTCATTCAAGAGCAGTGAGTGATTTTTCTCTTTGTGTTTTGTTGTTTTATTAACATTAAAGGGATAATTCACCCAAAAATGAAAATTCTGTCATCATTGCATCAAGTTGTTTTAAACACAAGTTGTTTTGAATGAGTTTCTTTCCTCTGTTGAACATAAAAGTTATTTTGAAGAATGTGGGTAACCAAACAGTTGCTGGTCCTCCAGTGACTTCCATGGTTTTTTTTTTTTCCTACTATCAAAGTCAATGGGGACCAGCAACTGTTTGGTTACCCACATTCTTCAAAATATCTTCTTTTGTGTTAAGCAAAAGAAAGAAATGAATACAGGTTTGGCACAATATGAGAGTGTGTAAATAATGACAGAATTTAAATTTGTGGGTGAACTGTCCCTTTAATGACAAGCGGCAGCATGTGTAGGCTAGTACTGTTAGTCTGCTGTCACTTTAAGACCTGCACGCATCTAATATACAGACACGCATCTGTTTTTCTCTCAACCGTTTACTTTGACTTACTATGGGGTAAGTTGTCACGCATGGGAACTTGACAGCCTATTACAGGCGTTTCAAATGTAAACAGAAATAAAGTTATGAAACACAAAACAACTTGTGAAATAAAAGATAAGGAAATATAAAACCTCTATTTTTGCCAATAGAAATTATAGCTAACAAATTCTACAAAATTACAACATATAAAACATGTAACAACTTGCCCCGGTTACCTGAATCTCACTCAGAAATCCATTAAATCTTACAATTAATATTTATATTTCTCAATTTTAAATACTGTAAACATGTACTTACATACAGATAAATACATACATATTAAACCTGCCATACTGCCTTTTATTGGGTAAATTTTTACAGTTTAACATTTCCCCAAAGAAATAAACAAATATTATAATTAAATATCTGAATTTGAAGGGCAACAGAAGTATATTTTTATAGGTTTTTCTCTATATCTGGATGTACTTTGATTAAACCCACCCAGAATCCCACCAAAAACACCAGTTTTGCTACGATAAATTTCAGTATTCACATTTTTTTTAAACAAATTTTACATTACTCTCTGATGAACTGTTTTGATGCGTGTAATTCACAGATATACTGCAGCCCAAATATATTCTGGCTCTTTAAGCCATTGGTTGTCATATAAACTGAGTAATACGATCTGCATTTAATAAAACGGTTTCATTCAGATGTTCATGTTTTCAGGAGGTGTTGAGGTCTGTATGGAGGCACTGGTGAGTTTTAGTGACTCTAGAATGGAGTGTCCATCTGACTTCCTTTGGCTCCAACAGGGACGACAACGTAACTCCCCTCTTGATTTCGCATCCATCGTAAGCGTATTTCATTCTGAACCTGGCAGACAAACATATATATAATCACAAAATCTCATGAGAGACTTCAATCAAAACCAAACCTAAATCTAACGTACCTTCTTAATGTTTTTATCATGTTTTAAACCTTCTCTCTCTCTCTCTCTCACTCACACTCACTCACTCACTCAGAATTTTCAGCCGATTCCACACAAAAACCTATTGCATGGCTTCCGAAGACATGGAATATAGGACTCTTAGGACAGATGTTAAAGAAATAGTTCACCCAAAAATGAGAAATTAATGAAAATTTACTCATCCTCAGGTCATCCACGATGTAAATGAGATGAATTGGTGCAGTGAATGGGTGCCGTCAGAATGAGAGTCCAAACAGCTGATAAAAACATCACAATAATCCACAAGTAATCCACATGACAGGATTTGTTTCTTACAAACACACAGTGTTCCACTTCACAATACATTAATTGATGGACTGGAGTGGTGTGGATTATTGTGATGTTTTTATCAGCTGTTTGGACTCTCATTCTGACGGCACCCATTCACTGCAGAGGATCCATTGGTGAGCAAGTGATGTAATGATACATTTCTCCAAATCTGTTCCAATGAAGAAACAAACTCATCTACATCTTGGATATAGATTTTCAACAAGTTTTCATTTTTGGGTGAACTGTTCCTTTAATATATTGGCTGTTAAAATCACTTTAATTAAATGCAATACTGAAATACAATGCATTATTATTATTTATCCTTAATTGCATATTGGCCTTTAAGCAGTTATCTTGTTAATTTCCCAATCGGTTTCTTAATCAAATTAATAAAGACCGGCAAACATGTTTGTCAAGGATTTTATTGGGCCAGATTTTGAGTACAAATGTTGTTAAGGCCTCTGAGAACGCTGATTATCTCCATTCAAAAACAAACCTGACTTGCAGAATCAACAGTAAACAAGCTGGTTTGTCCAGATATCTGACCTGCATGCATTTTTACAGTTTGCAAATGCATAAGGGCATTGCACTCATAGAATCTAGCTTTCAGCACATTATTATGAATTTTGGAGTATATTTTGTATTTTTATGGTGTGTGAGGGCTAAATAATAATCACTCACCTCCTGGTTCAGGAAACAGTAGAGAACCGCCACAATAAGACCCTTAAGAAAATCAATGAAGAGAAAGTCAGTTTCTGTAAAGTGAATAAAATGTTCCTCAGATCAAATCCATCTCTCTTCCTCTCCCTTTCATCTCAGATTGAGTGTTTTGAGACAAAACAATTTTATGCTGTAAACACTATTTCTGCTGGATTTTTGCAGGCGCATAGTACACCATTTATGCATTATCATGGATGTATAAATGTTAAAGGGGTCATATGATGCTGCTAAAAAGAACATTATTTTGTGTATTTGGTGTAATGCAATGTGTTTATGCTGTTTAAGGTTCAAAAAACACATTATTTTCCACATACTATACATTATTGTTTCTCCTCTATGCCCCGCCTTTCTGAAACG